ATCATTGTATACCGTAGCAGCAATACTAGTTGATGATCAACTGTTAATTGACATAGCTGTTCTCAGCAATACAGTGGTCCAAGACAATTCTGAAGGACCTATGATGAAAAATGCTATCCACTTCCAAAGAAAGAATTGATGGAGTCTGAATGCAGATCGAACCCTGCTTTTTAAAAACTTTATTTTTCTTGATTTTTTATTTGTATTTTCTTTCACAACATGGCTAATATGGAAATAGGTTTTTGCATTACTGCACATATAATTGCTACCAAATTGCCTGTCTTCTCTAGGGGGGCAGGGATTTGGAACTCAAAATTTTAAAAAAGAATGTTAAAATTATTTTTATGTGTAATTGGAAAAAATAAAACATAAAAATTTTTAAAAAAGAGTGGAGATTGGAGAAAAGATTGAATCCTTCATTTTTTTGGCCACATCTTTTCCTTTTTAAAAATTGCTAAATTTTCTTTAGATACATCATATAAGTCTTCTAGAATATACCAATAACAATTATATAAAACAGGATAAAAGTGTGTAGAATATACTTTATATATAGTTTCTCACTTATTAGCAGGACAAGATGTGCACTTTATAAATTACTGTGAATGTTCTGTTTTTGAACTGTTGTTGATGGCTAAAATTGTTTTACATAGTTATAATTGTGTATGTTCTTTTCTGGTTTGTTCTCTCTACATCACCTCACAAGTCCGATATTTATTTGAATTTTTTATATTTAATATAGTTAATTAAAGCACAGTTAATTGTTATACATTCTATATAATAGTCTGTTACAGTGCTATGTAAAACAGTCATATAACACTTGCTTGATATTGACTCTACAAACATCATGCTTCTCCTCAGGATAAGCTCATCACCTACAATCTCACAACCATGGAGATTGATTCAGGTTTGATACTCAACACCTCCTCAATACCCTAGGTTGTCTCTTCTCTCTGATTGGAGGGCCGAGCAATAAACTTCCCCCCGAAGCCTGCCTTTATAGAGGACTCAGAATTTCCTAATTAACTCTTCATTTCCTATCAGCTGTTCTGCTTTGTTTTGACTCCATAAACTGTCACACCCCTGTGTGGAATACCCTGCTGCATAATAGATAATTAGTATTTATTGACTATTGGCTATTAATTAAGCCATTCCCCAATCACTGGGCACATGATCTATTTCCAACTTTTTGAAAGGACAGGTAGTACTGCTGTATAATACAGCTGTTGCCTAGTAAATCATTTGCTGCTAATAAACTACTGTTGGTGAAAATATATTTTAGTTATTCTGGCAGAAATAACTTTAAATATCAGTGTCTTCACAGTGAAATAGCTACACCGATTATTTCTCAAGCAAAAAGCCCTAGGAGTAGAGTTACATAATACCCAGGTGACATGTGAAATTCTCAGAACAAAATAACCTTTAATTCATCATAACTTAAAAAACAAAAACAAAAACACAATATTCTTGGAGAAATGCCATGATGCAGTGAAGAAAGTAGTAGACTTGGAGTCAGGAAGATCTGGGTTCAAGTGTCACCTCTGACACTTAGTAGTCTGGGCAAATAACTTAACCTTTCAGTGCCCCAAGCATCTCCCTAGGACTTATCTTTTAAGTTATAGGTAGGTAGTATAGATGTCCATTCGTAGAGGGAGTTACCAATGCCCATCACAAAATAATAACAAAAGTCCTAAGTATGAAATAAGTTAAGAATCACTGCTGTAGAAACCCATGGTCATTAGAATATGTAGACTTTCAGTTGTTTTACAATTACTTTTCCTACTAATAACAGGCAATCGCCTGCAAGCAGATAATTTTACTGATAGAGCTATTTTCACATCTTTATTCATGACTAGCAGAGGGAATCTTATCACCCAATGGTATAGGAGGCTAGTTGCCAAAATGCTGAATATTTGATGACATTTCCTTTGGTTTCCTTTTGAGTTTGGGAGGCAATGTGGTGTAGCAAAAGAACACTGGATTTGGAGTCAGAGGATTACAAAGATATTCTGCAGAAATCTAAACTCAGGGAAGCTAGGTGGTGCAGTGGATAGAGCATAGGCCCTGAAGTCAGGAGGACCTGAGTTCAAACCTGACCTCAGACCAAACACTTGACACTTACTAGCTGTGTGACCCTGGGCAAGTCACTTAACCCCAATTGCCCCCCCCAAAAAAGAAAAAGAAAAAAAAAGAAATCTAAACTCAACATATTCAAAACTCCTCTTACTGTTAAGGTTACCACCATCCTCCCAAGAACCTAGGCACACAACCTAGGTGTCATCCTTAATTCCTTCACTCTCCCCTCTATGTATCCAGTCGGAGGTCAAGTCTTGTTTCTACCTTTGCAGCATGTCTCTCATATACTCCTTTCTCTCCTGACATTTCCGCCACCCTGGGACAGGCCCTCATCACCTCATACTCGGACTACTGCAATAACCTACTGATTTAGTTTCCCTGCCTCAAGTCTCTCCCCACTCTAATGCATTCTCCACTCAGCTGTCAGATTGATCTTTCTAAAACATAGTTCTGATCATGTCCATACCTCTGTCCCCAATCCTCAATTCATTAAATTCTGGTAGTTCCCTCTCACTTCCAGGATCATATCTAAAAGCCTTTGGCTTTCAGAACCCTTTATAACTGTCATGTCACCCCTTCCTACCTTTCCAGTACTTTGCAGTCCAGTAACTCTGGTCCCCTTGCTCTTCCATGCACATGATACTTCATCCCCTGACTTGGGAGCATTTTCACTTGATTTTCTCCATTCCTGGAAAGCTCTCCTTTCTTATCTCTACCTCCTGACTTTCCCGTCTTCCTTCAAGCTTCAGCTAAAGTCTCACCTTCTGCAATAACTGTTTCCTAGTCCTCATTAATCTTAGTGCCTTTCCTTTGAGATTATATCCAATTTGTCCTGTATATATTTTTTTTTATACATAGTTGTTTGCATGTTGTTTCCCTCAATTAGAATGTGAGTTCCTTGTGAGTAGGGACTTTTTGCTTTTCTTTGTGTTCCCATTGCTTAGTGCAGTGCCTGGCGCATAGTAGGTGCTTAATAAATGCTAACTGACTTATTACCACATAAATATAAAGCGAATAAACAGAACTATATACATAGTAGTTTGGGTGGGAAGACACAAGCATTTGGGGGAATAAGAAAAGGCTTAGTTCAGTGTACACATTAGGACTGTACAGTTAAACCACGCTTGTATGATGCGCTCTATTTTGCCAAACTCACAGATCCACTGAACAACAGTCCAAAAGTGGGAGGGAGGAGTTTTCTCGGTAGGTCGAGCTCGAGCCGAGAGTTAGCTGGATGGAGCTACGTGCCTCGGTGAAAGTAGGGAGAACGGCCTTCCAGAAAAGGGGCAGAACCAAGGGAGCAGAACCAAGAGTGCATAACCACCTGGTTGCCTACTGCCTGATTTTTGTTGTTGATAGGAACAGGCTATTAAACAGTAGTAACTCCTAGAGGATTAATTGTATGTTGATCTTACCCGCCCAGATAACTTTGAAAGGTCCTGAAGGGCAGGATCTAATGTCTTATAATTTCTTAATATATAACTAGTACAATGTTAAACGCATGAAAAACGTTAAATATTTGGTGAAAGAATGCTCTACCACTCTATTGCATATCCATGTTTTAAAATCATAACATCCTAGATCTAAAACTGGATTTTCATGTGATTTAGGTTTTATTCCATATTTCTTTATTCTACTCACAGTCACATCACCTTGCTCATTAAAGAAGACTACACCAGCAAGAAGGACAAGGAATAAGATCATACTCAGTACAACAAATCAGAGACAGAATTTAATTGTTGGGTAGAAAACATGATGGAAAAAGATGAATCAGGCTCCTCATAGGATCATAGATTCAAGACTGAAGTGGGCTTTAAGGACATGTTGTCTACCCTTTCATATTACACAAGAAGGTACTGCATGTCCAAGCAGTTAAGCCCAAGGTCATACATGTGAGGGACAGAACCAGAATCTTACTCAGTAGTAGCTCAGCTAGTTAAGATATGAAAAATGTGTTAATGATTGCCAAAACAGCTACTGCAGAATGAAAAAGATTTTTTGGTTAGATAAAATAGTGTGTTATGATAGATAAAGTGCTAGACTTGTCTGAAGACCTGGATTTAAAACCTCCATGTTGCAATATAACTGTACAAGTCATGCTATATCTTAAGGCTTTAGTTTACATAAAATGAAGGAATTAGAACACATGATTCTGAAAACCATTTACAGTCACTATACCCTATGACTCCAGTAATCTGACATTCTGTGATGAAAAGTTACATCTTGCCATTTCCACAACTGAACAATAATGGAAGGAAACAAAATATATCTTATCCTTTTAGATTGATTGCTCTTCAGTTCTACAAAACTAGCAGTTCTGTGAACTATAGGGCTCACTTAGTGTAATTATAGAACATTGGAAAGTATGCTCCTTTGAAAACATTAAATAACATTTTTTAAAGATGGTGAAGTGACCCATAAATCACATTGATTTTTTTTATTACTAAAAAAGTGTACTGTATTTCATTTGAGGAAGTCTTTTTTTGAAAGTAATTGTGGAAAAAATACAAAATATTGTTTGGTAAAGTTAAAATAAGCATCTTGTTTGGGCCAATTATTTATATTTTAGTTTAAAACACAGCAAAATCCTCATACATAGCAAGCGTTATTTTAACTTTTGTCAGTTAGCATTTTGAAATAAAATTTTCACTATGTCATTGACCTTTGTTGTAGCAAGTGTGTGTGGGTATTTTTCTTAGAATTAATTTGTTTCCTTATAATCTTAAGTGTAACTTTGTGTTCCACAAAACATTGTTTTTAATATAAAAGTGATATGCTTGATATGCCTTAAGAATTTTTAGAAGTATTTAGTAACCATTTTTGTTTTTTAAAAAGAAATACTCCTTGACTTACCAGCATTATTCAGATAGCTTCATCTTTGTGTAGTTGCAATAGTACTAATGTAATATTTGTTAATCAATTCATAGGTGAATTATGTAACCTCATAACCTTGGATGTAGCTCACAATCAGCTGGAGCACCTTCCAAAGGAGATTGGAACCTGTACTCAAATCACCAACCTTGACTTGCAGCACAATGAACTCCTGGATCTTCCTGAAACTATAGGTACGAGTGTTGAAAGAATACTGGGAAATATAAAGATCTGCAATTCAGGTCTGAAATTTATTTCAAGGGTTAGCGTTATCTTCTTAGCAACACAAATCTAAATGATTAGAATGTCATTATTTCTAAATTATAATATTTTAAAAATTGAATTAACAATTTCTTTTAGGTAAGAGAAAGCAGATTTTTAGAAATTTTGCTCAGTTGGATTACAAAATGAAGGATAAACAATTCATTTGCCAACATTTCTAGAAATTACCCTTTTGTATTATTTTTCAAAGACCACCTATGAGAAGTACAAAAAGGAAGTAAAATTATAAAGATACTTTCTTTGATTCAGAAATTTGCACAGGCTTAAAAATGGGGTGGCCTCTTCCCATTTTAAATAAACATAGGACTGATGGAAGAATAAAATAAATGATATTTAATTTTAAAACATAGTAGATTCAGACTTCTTAAGGAAATTCAAAATGTGTTTATAAATGTTTAACTAAGCTCTGGTTATTGAATTGAGCTCATCAGTGGTATTTTTGTATATGCATTAATATGTAAATATATGCTTTGAGAGAGAGCAGTCTAAATATATAGCTTTTAAAAATTTATACCATTTTTGAGTTAGAGATGGCATAAAGATATGTAATGCTATTTAAAAAATAATAATTTACACTAATATTTTCATCACTTTACTACACAATATTTCAGAAGTTCTGTGTTTCTAATTTTATTTGAATAACTTTATTTTGTTTGCATTTGGATTTTGTATCAATGGCTCAGATTTAAAATCTAATATTTCTTATGAATTCCTTCATTAGGAGCATCTGTAAAAACACAGTAATCCAAAAGCTAAATCTGCTGATGAGTTGAACCATCTTATTACACAGTTTAAGACTTCAATTAATTTAATTAAATGTCTATAAAAAATCTTAGGGAGAAAGAAGTATTTTGAAATGCTAATGGCTGCAAATAAGGAAAAGTTATAGTCTATAAAAAAATCAAAATTCCAGGTGACCCAAAGGTTAATGCTGAGATGCATAGTAGGTATAAATATGATACGTCATACTACTAATGATGACATTCACAAAAGAAGATATATCGCCTAGGAAATGTATGATTAGAAGAGGGGGTCATATAGATGAATAGGCCAACTGTTGCTGTGGTATCCACAGAAAGGGACTTAGTGGAAGGTTTCCACGCTATTGAGTAAATCTTCTTTAAAAGATTTATAGGGGGCAGCTAAGTGGCGCAGTAGATAGAGCACTGGCCCTGGATTCAGGAGGACCTGAGTTCAAATCCGGCGTCAGACACATAACAGTTACTAGCTATGTGACCCTGGGCAAGTCACTTAACCCCATTGCCTAACCAAATTTAAAAAAGAAAAAAGGACTTACATGAATAAAAATTGCATTTTAAAAAAAAGGCATGGGTAGGTTGCAGTCTGTGCTGTTAGCAGGATCAACCACATTTACGACATCACAGATGTCATAAATTGCAAAATTGAAGTACTGATATGTGCATATATAAGATTTTTGAAGGCTTGCTATGCTTTAAAAACATCTAATATGTGGAAACCTTTCCTACCTCAAATATTTTTATATATTTTAACCAATTCTCTCATGCCGATTTCTTTCTTTTTCAAATGTTTTATTTTGTTGTATTTCATAATATACAACTCATTAAATAGCTGTAAGCTGTTTCTTAGTACTGCAGCTCTGAGTCTACATGGATGAGGTTCAAACTTGGGGGGCTTCTTTCTAAATACAGTCTTTTTTTTATTTTCTTGCGTGTGCCTCTACATGAAGTTTCTCCTGAGAACATCAGAATTTGAGTTCTGTCTGAAAATAACTACATTTTAGGGAAGAGGTTGTTGTGATTGAAATTAAGGTAAACTGAGGCACAAAGCCCAGAGCATGTTCAATTTATTGGTAAGGCTAGCAGTTACCAATATAAGGGATCCTTCGCTTCTCAGCAAGCCGAAAGACTCCGAATGAGGGCAGGCAGATCATTTTCACAGATAAAAAGAGGAGCATTTATAACTGTCTTTCTTTTAAAATGATCACATAGATACTTCAAATAGGAAAATAATTTCACCCTCTTCACAGTGCAGTTTTATATGTGGAATCCTTAATCCAGTTTTAAAAACATTATCTCATTAGAAAGATTTGGAAGCCAATTACATACATTTATATATTCTAGTTCTTAGAGAAAACAGTCTGATCCTGTTGTTTTCTCAGTTTACTACTCCATTTAATTAAAAAACAAGAACCAAAAAACTTTTACGTCTTTGTCTTATTAGAAAATTTGTGTGTCCCCATTTAGGATGATGTCATCCCCATATCATAACTGCTATTGAGGGGGTGGTAAACCCAAGAACTCAGTTACTTAGCTGCTTAGGCTATGGATTTGACTACCAATTTAGAGTGAACACAGTAAGAGCTTTCATACTTGCACTGTATTGTAGCATTATTAAAAAATTACAGCTTTACCTGCCATTGTTAGAGAGATTTGCTATGGAAGGAAGAAGTGGGGACACGGTTGTAATAGTGTCCAGAGTGATCTTCCAGGCCTATCCCTAAGGTACAGAATGACTCAACATTGGTATAATAGGATAAAGCATCTTTAGTTCTGTTTGATTTCAGGTGAAAGTTGTAGTTGATATTTTGAATATCCAGTCATACAGCAAAGTTCCACATTATTCACAGCGTATAATATCCAGATTCAGGATTAATCAGGTAGAAAACAATCCTATTCAAAAGGGAAATAATACAGTGGGCAAACTGAGTCAAGAGGATCCTACCTTTGGCTATGCCAAGGTTATCCCCTTAGCTTTTCCCAGACATAGACATCTACCTCTAGCAGTTTTTAGATCACACTCCCTTTGAATAGCTTGTGGCATTTCCCTTAAATGGTGTATTACTAACTTAATGATACTTCAGGAACTTATACATGAATTCAAAACTCAAAACAAAATCAAATTATGGTCCCAAGAGATTTTTACCTCAAATAGGAAGTTTCACTAATCATAGCTTAGGGCTAGATATAGTTATTATAATTATTCCTGCCACATCTCGACTTTCCCCATCACAGTTTCAATATATCATGGGTTGGCATAAGAAATTGCTGTAGATGGTAATTTTGGGGGAGTTTTGCAGAAGTCATAGACAACACACAAAGGCTAGCAGACAACACAGAAAATGTTTAGAAACTCAGAAATGCATTAAGCATGTGTGTGTGTGTGTGTGTGTGTGTGTAATGTATAATATAGACATCTTATCTTTTAATGCCATAAATATACACAATTTCTTTTTTCAAGTTAAAATAAAAAAAGTTTGCGAAAAAAACACAGAAGCTAGCAGACAACACAGAAAAGCTAGAAATGTGGAGATATCTTAAAAAGTTTAGTAACTCAACACCCCATAAAAGAGAAAGAAAAAAATTCAGACTTCTCTGGTACGAAGGAAGGGCTAAAAAATTTTACGTGGATTTTCCAAATACCACGCCCTTAATCCCTGTGATGTGGAAGGAATAACTACTATTCTCTCATGATGTTGTAACATTCTTTAGCAATAAAAAACATTTACCAGGTTTTACACAAAATAAATTCACTCAACATCCTTTTCTTCTTCTAATCTAGTTTAAACTCATTTTGTTGTAATAAAATCAGTAGGAATTAAGAAAATAATTACATTCTGGAATTCCATATATCTAATGAATATATGATAGGTCACTCAAAAACCTGGAAAAACACTGGCTAAAGTATGCTTCCAGGCTAGCAGATATCTCTCTCTTAAGGGATTGTATATTAATCCCTCAGGGAAAAATAAATAAGACTGGAGTCTGTTGAAACTAAATTGGCCCAAGATGTAACTTCAGTATATACTATGTGGGACATAACTTATTAATTTTCATAATTATAAATCATCAAATCACTTCTGTACTATAAACACATTTTTTAATCCTCACTGCTTTGGCAAAGAAATGTTAATAATGAAAGAGATCTCAGTTTCTCAGTATATGAATTCATCACTTGAAAATTTCACAACATTTAGCAAGTTATTTCATGGGGCTGATAAGTTTTGCCCAAGCGATGGTTCCAAGAAACCTGGCAAGTTTACAAATAAGAAAATTTTGTAAGGTCATTTCTTTTTTTTGTTTTTCGCTTTCCCACAAAGTAATTCTTCCCTTTTAAAATATATCCTATTAAATACTTGATAGGTTTTAATGTTATAACAGTGGCTTCTAATAACTTAATAATTTCCCACTATCCAGATTGAAAGAAAGAGTTAAATTTTTTTAATGATACAATTATATTAACTTCTTAACAATATTTCTTATACAGTGGTCTCCCAAAATTCACAATACAAGAAACTTTAGAAACAACAATAATGACATACACAGTACCATGAAACAAAGCTTAATACCAGTCAGATTACATAAATTTAGTCAAATACATTTCTAAATTATCTTAAGTGGAAAGTCATTCATTTTATCATCTTCAGCATTTTCTACTAATCACATTTAAAACCTTATATAGAGTTACCCAGTTTGTGGTAATAATATTCAATTAAGGAAAAAAATAGTAGTAATAACAACAGTTGACATTATATAGTGTTTACTGTGTGCCAGGCACTATGTTAAGCATTTCACAATCATTATATCATTTTTATCCTCACAAGAACGCTAGGAGGAGGGTGCTATGCTTGGAAACTGAGGTAGTAAACAGAGGTAAGGTAACTTGCCTTAAGGTCACACAGCTAAAAAATTTCTGAGACCAGGTTTTGATTCAGGTTTTTCAGAGTCATGATTATATATTAATGTCAAGTATCAGGTTCTAATTTACCACAGTTATCCTGTCAAAATTCTATCCAAATCAAATGGTTTTTTTTTAATCACTAATGGTAACATTTAAAATCTCAAAAAAAAAAAAACCCCAAAAAAACAAACAAGTTTCCCAAGGGCCATTAGTTAGCAGTACTTCAAAATTTAGAGTTCATTGTTATCAATTA